TGTATGTCAGCTGATTTGAGTTATCAGCTGCACGATTATGGAATTGTTCTGATCAAAAGAGTTCATTTGTGATACAACTCAGATTTCTGATAATTCATTGGATTGTACTGCATTCGAGTTGGTTGGCACATCGTTCGACGGCAGTTGATAGCGATTTAATTGCGATTCAAGAAATTCGATCCTGCGTAATAATTTCGACTTTGTACTCGTAAATTCGGCCACAAAGCGTGCCATCCTGTAAAAATGATCGTCTGAAGGGTTGTTAATTCTTTTGACTCCTTCAAATCTTTATCGTCCCTTTACAGAATTGTCAATTCGTTTCATACTGAAAGCTCTTTAACTGTGAATTTATTCGTTCGAGAGAGCAACAGCGACGGACCGATTGCGAACAATCGAAGTTTGGGTAAATGCAGCCGCAGAACGCGGGATTCAGTTATCCCGAAGTTGGACATTAAATCCCTCACAATATGGAGTGCTGATCACAGAGCAAGCTTGCTTAATTTCGTCATGTATTCAAACGCATCAATGTAAAAATTGAGTGTCATTGCTGTCTTAGCATCCACTTCTCTTCAATGAGCCAAGAAGTCGTTATGAAGCGGAAGATCTTCAAATCAATTATAAGCTAAGTTAAAAATTGCTCCCGGATGCTCTCTATGAAGCTGTTTCAGCACAAGAACGTGAATACGTTGTAAAAATACACAATTCAACTGATCTAACCGTATTTGAACGTTTCGAAGTGAATTTTGCAAGTTCTCAGCTATTTCTTCAGCGCTCATCTGTTCTTCGGGCGCATTCTCGTCAAGCAAGTTATCCTTTCGTAAGATTTCCCTTCCCTTAAAACTTATCTTAAATGATGGAAGAGAATAAATGAGTGATTCGTTGATGTAATACAATACTTTTACGGCTGAAATAAAGGTTTATAAGCAGAAATTATTAAAACAAAACAGTCACTATCATCGAGTCAGTAAACGTATGCGAAATAATCTCAAAAAAATCTTAATCAAATTTTATTCTTTAATGAAATCAGTGAGACGAACCTTTGCGATAAGCAGTTTTCTAGCATCTGGATATTCCTTAAGAGCGCTCCATAGATCATTTTTATTCAAAACAAACAGATCCGTGTACCCAACTGAGCGCACGTTGGCAGTGCGACGATTACCATTTTTACTGCCTGATTATAAAAGCGATTTAAAAAATAAAACAATTCAGCATCAAATAAATTTGAAGTAAAAAGGGTTATTATAACAAAT